GGATTGAAGGTGGGGCTTTTAAGGGCTTGTCTCTACCCCAGATGCTGAAACTGGAAGCACTACCATAAAGTGCACCTCACCCACTCCCTCCACCTGCTGTCACCTGCACTAGATGCACCCAGAAAAGAGACAATGTAGAGCCTGCAAAAAGCATACCTTGGACAGAGACCCTAACAGTGCTGCCTGGATGCACCCTTCTGGCAGCATTGTTGCCAGGATTTGGGTTAGGAGTGAGCGGGGAGGCTATGACAGCTCCCCCCAGGCTCAGCAGGTGGGCAGTTCAGACAAGTCCTAAGTCAAAGATGGGCAAAATGCAGCCCGTGAGCTGGATGTGGCCTACCAGGCCATTCTATCCAGCCCACGGGGCCCCTAAAAAGTTTAGAAAATTAATATTTATCTTCCCCTGGCTGCCTGTCATGGTTTGGCAAAACTCAGTAAGCAGCCCTCTGCCAGAAATAATTGCCCACCCCTGTCCTAAATCCTTAATATTGCTACTACCACCTTGCAAATCGCTGGCATCACTGCTTGCTTTCCCCTGGTGGTTGCCTCCCATCCAACTATTGACCAGGGTTAGCTTGGAAAAGTTGAAGAACACAAACCAGGAGGACTGAAATGGTGGAAAATCAAACACATTGGGTTTACTCTGTAAAAGGAGTAGACAGGTCAGATCATTTCTTTGTAGCAGCATGAAGCAACAACCTCTGAAAAATAGGCTAATGTGAGCATTAATCTCTAACGCAGCTTTTGATCTGGAGTGTTCCTGATCTCATTCAGGACAACCAGGTAGCCGAGAGACGCAGCATCCATCACAGTTAATAGGCTCCATGTGTTATAGACCTGCCTTGTTCCACCCTCTGCAACATGAAACCCTCTGGCCAGGGCCAGCCCGGCTGGATGACTCCATTAGTATTATTTTGGTTATGTATACTGTAAAAGAGAAAAAAAAATTCTTACAAAACCAGGTCGAGAGAAATGTTTTTTTCACCAACAACAGCAATGGGCAGCAAAATCATGAGCTGAAAGGCACAAACTGCCTTCCTTTCTGTTAGGCTCTATACAGATGGCAAGGAGAGGACAGACCTGAATGCTATTGATGACTAAAGCTCAGAAGATTCAGTCCTGAGCAGGCTTGTGTTTTACTCATCCTATTGCTGTGGGCACCTTGTTAGGTGGCCCATAGCTGTCTCTGTGGGAATTGGAAAATAGTTGAAGCATAAAAATACTCACTCCTCTTTTCCCCTGCCTCCAGCCTGGTTGACGTCCACTGAGAGGCATCAAAAGCATACAGTTTGCCTCTGTTGGCCGTACACCATGGTCAGGGGGTAAAGGCCCCATGGGAGAGCACTGTTGGCTCAATCAGGTGCTTGACCCAACAGTGCTCCCCCATGGGGTCTTTACTCCCTGACCATGGTGTACGGCCCTCAGTGAGTTACAGGCAAAATTATAAGCAACAGTGAATTCCTTGCATGCTGAGCCATGCTTGAAGTAGCAGCAGTTGCACATGCACAGGGCTTGTAAAATGGGGTCTTGCATACTTATAAGAATCTGATGTCAACAGCTGGGTGAAAAAAAATGCCTCTTGAGGACAGACCATATATATTGCTGGAGCAACCTTCTGCTAGGCATTCAGTCTGTGTGGCCTAGAAGTAGAAGTCCGGTGCTAGAAAACAGGGGGCCATGCATCCTACTCCAGCATCCTTTGCTGTCTTGTTGGTCTTGAGTCAGTCATATTTTGTCTCTGGAAGGGCGGAATAACAGTGCCTCCTAGTCTGGGCACGGATGAGAAGCTCACATTTTTGCAGTGCTCGGAGCACACTGAGTGCAGTGCCAATGCTAAAAGCTGATGAGACTCAGACTGCACAGCAGCAACTGCAAAAACAATCATCAGGGTGGAGAGAAGGGGATGTCTTCCAAGCTTTTTCATATCTGTTCAAATTCAGCTTGAATTCCTACCCAGGGTAGCTCCCTAATGGGGCATGAATGACCCTCACGTTACCGGTAAATGAGGTTCTTTCAGGTCAAGGTCAAGGAGCACAGATCCCAGCACAAAAGAGAGGACAAACCAGGACCCTTTAATTTAATTTTATTTATTTATTTTTGCCATCTAGCAGCTGATGAAGCTGGATCTTTTGCTCTCAAAATGCATCTGTAGCTGCCTTCCATTTTTCCTTTTTTTTCTTTCCTTTGGAGCTCTAGCTCCCTCTAAAGCATAGTTTTTTTGGTGGAAAGTTTCCAAGTTCTATACTCAGATTCCAGAATCCTTAAATGCTCTTGAATTTTCCAGGGCTGTTTTCCTTGTTGCTGCTGGGTCAGAGCTACGGTCCCTGCTCAGCTCGGACTCAGTTCTTACTCAGATGAAATTTGCTTTACGTTCTGTGGCAGGGTGATCTGAACGAGGACCGATGTAGGCCAAGTAGGGTCTTATCATGGCCCTGTGGTATTAGTTTTGAGGAAGGACAGTCAGGTAGATAGGCTGGGATTCAGGAGATTGGTTCTCTGGAGTGTATTTCTGATTTTTCCATTGACCTGTTGTATGACCGCATGCAAGTCTCTGTGCCACTGACTGTGAGATGGGGATAATGATGCTCAGGAGCCAGGTCCGGTGACAAATCCAGCAGGCTTCTCTGTGCGTCTTCCTGTTTTCTTTAACTGCTTCACTGTGCTGCTAGCTCTTTGCCAAGTCTGAAGGACATCCAGGGTGTTGTCCTTGACCGTGTTGCAAAACCTCTTGTGTCTATGAACCATGTAAACAGCCTCATCCCTCAGTGGGCTTGTGACTCCCTTGTTTTTCAAGCCTCCGCTGTTGTCATTTTGTGTGTGTGCTGTTTTTATTGTTGTTTTGGCAGGCACACTCCTAACTTAGGTTTGAAATGACTTGCAGGGCTTTTAAAGGCCTGCAGGGAAGATTTCTTAAGCCCTGGCATTTCCTGTTGTGAGAAGTCCAGTCTGTGCCGAACTAAAGAGAGAGAGAGAGAGAAGAGAAATGCTGAAGGAAAATATTTGGATGGCTTTGATCCCGATTAAAAAAAAATCCTCATGGAAAACTCTGTGCAGAAATATTAAGTTCTTATGTTGCAGCAGAGCGGCTCAGCAGCTTGAGAGAGAGAGAGAGTTCAGCAAAGAAAAACTCACACTAATTGTTAGTTTTTCTATAAAGCAGGTTAAAATTTTGCAGATTTTTGAACCAAAAAAAAATCTTCTTTTGTTTGATATCAGAAATTAAGTTTTCTTTTACATCTGTGTTTGTTCTGTTTAACTCCTCTGCCCTCCCCTCCCCCCCCCTTGCATTTCAAAGGTTTTTAAATTTAAAGGTATGTTTGATTTTGTTTTCCATTTTTGAATCCTGAAAGGCTTGTTCAACCACTTGGAAAATTCTTATTCTTGGTCAAATACCTTGCATATTTCTGTGAAAAACTGAGTAAAAGAGTGAGGGGGATAAAGAATAAAGTGACAGAGAGAAAAAAAGGTTTGTTCCTTTCTCTGATTTTGTGGAAGGCATGTGGTATTTGTTGATGTGCAGTGCATTTCTCCTTTGCCGATTCGAGTCTGTTTTGAGAACTGTACACATTATAGACAGAAAGGTGCCATTAGGGTTAGATGTTGCACTGGCCTGGGGCTAGCGCAGGGTTGCCATGGTAGGGATATTTTCTGCTGCTTTAACCAGTTAACTAAGACAGTGGAGACTCCACCACTTACAAAGGGGGCTCAATATTCTGTGCTCTAGTACAGCGCTTCCATTGTTTCATGGTTGTTAGGGGCTTACAGATCTCATCAGGTTCAGACCCCCTTGCATGCGGGCAGGAAAGACAGCTGGGATCAAATGATTTCCGCAGGATGGGCATCAAGACATTTTTTGGAGATTGCCAGGGTAGGTGACTGTGCCACTTCTGGGGGGAGCCTGTTTCAAAACCTCAGCACTCAACTTGTAAAAACTTTTTTTTTTCTGTCCAGCCTGAAGCAATCTTCAATCACCTTGTGCCCATTATTTCTTGTCCTCCCCTGGGGGGCCTTTCCAACCTTTGTAGACCTGGGGTACCACTTGGAAAATGCCAGCTCTTAGTTTTCACTTGTTTTGTGACTACAGAAAAATAATAGAGTAGTTTCACAGTGAATAACTCATTGCCTTCAGATATGCATAAGTTTAAGTTTTGCTGGATTAGGGTCTCGGTTTTGACCCAATGGACCAGTTGTTTAGCAGGCATAAATCCAGAAAGTTGTTGCAGAAAAAATATATGTTCCTGTTTTCCAAAAGGCAGCGTTTCTTGTAGGTTAGAAATACCAGAGATTGGGACTGTTCTAACAGTCCTCCTAGCTGGTTCTTTCTCAGTAGTCTCATCTTGAGATATGAAGAATTATTCTCCTGACTAGTAATCAGGCACTTCTATTTTCCTCCTCGTCTCTGAAATTCTTAGCACCTCCTGGTATTGAATGTGCTCCTGCCTTATTATCCAGTTAACCAGATTCACTGCAACATAAACGCAGCTCTTCATAGCACTAGTATAGCAGGCATGGCTGTGGAGAAGCCAAAGTACTATGTTCCTCAAGGAGCCCTGTTTTCTGGCTGCCAGACTGGCTCCTCATTGGCCCTGATGGCCAGCAGGTAGGGCTGGGGCAGGCTGCCTCCTTCCTGGGTTGTGCTGAATGCTGTTTGACTGCAGTTCAGGATCTGGTCCAGCACTTTGTTTTTAACATCTCACAAATTTGTAGCAGTGATTTTGCAACTTGGAATCGTTGTGGGATCAACGTGTTTTCTTCTTAGAAATCAAAGATGATGAATGACCAGAGTCTTCATTAAAAACAAAACAAGAATCATACAATAGCTTCTTATTGGGAATGCCCTGAAAAAATAATCCCTGAAAGTTGAGAGCTTTTTGCATCTCCCTTAGACTTTAGGATTGCTCTAATAGTGCAAAGGGGGTTGATAATCTGTGATGGCACTTCACTTCACTGCCTCTTCCTTCATGCCTCTAACCATGCAATCCCTTCTTTATATTTTGTAGGAAGAAGATGATGACGGTCTTCCTAAGAAGAAGTGGCCAACAGTAGATGCATCTTATTATGGTGGGCGAGGTGTTGGGGGCATTAAAAGAATGGAGGTAAACAAATGCTTGCTTGTGTGTCAAAAAAGTCACTAAATACAAAGTGAGACACAGTTCCCTTCTGCTGTTCACCTGAGAAAAACACTGGGGGCTTTAATTTTAAAAGTCTGAATTTCTGAGCACAGTTAGTTTCACCCTCAGAGTCTTATACTAGCTTTAGGATGCAAAATCCTGGCTCCCTTGAAAGGATAGTTGAAGGCCTAAGGCTTAAGGCCTAAACCTGAGCAAATCCAATTAATTTCTGTAATCAGTATTAGCTGTCGCACCTTCATGCGTGTGACATTGCATCCTTCTATCCCCATATACCTTGGAAAAGATCTAGAGAAGCACACAGTACTGATCATTCACTTGTCTGCAGGCAGAAATCTTGCTGAACATCATTATGTTGGATGTCAGGAATAATTTTTAATGTAAATCCTGATGAAACTTACTCAGATGCCTGTACAAAAATTGTGTTCTTTATATCAGGTAACTTTTCATGACAACCAGTAACAGCACTGGTTTTCTCCCTTGATGGACCACAAGGAAGAAGAAGAACAGAGGTTTTGGCTGATATTTTCCTGATGTTAGGATTATGTTCTTTGTTCCCTTTCACCTTGTATGATAATTCAGACCAGTGCAAAGTAGGTATAAAATGCTAACAGGTCATAATGCTGCTATTTAACACTCCCCTTAGACTAGTGTGAATGATGACATGGGAGACAGGGCACCAACTTTAAGGCCAAATGCAACCACTATAGGCCATTGTTAGAAGGGTTCATTGTGTAGCTTTCCTTCCTATGTATCACAAGCCACAGAATAGCAACTGGCATTTCCTGTATCAGGTCCACTAGGGGGGCTTGAACTGCAGGGTAACTTTTGGATACATCCAGTCTCATTTTACAGATTCTAGGTAATTGAGAATCCATTCTGTCCTGTGGTGAGCTTTTAAAACACGTATTTCTGCTTCTCCAACCAACTTGAACCAAAGCAGCTGTTGTCTACATAATGGACCTGCATGCATAAATAAGGACGTTTCACCCAAATAGTGGTTGCAAGTATAGGGATGATGACCAATACAACAGGAAACAAATCAGGGACCTCCAGAGTTGACACCACCAGCTGCTATAGTTAAAGGTAAAGAGCCAAGGCACTGTGTGGCACTTGAGGCCATAACAGAATTGTATTCCCTACATTTTGGGCACAGCAGGTAGCCTGTAATATACCCAACAATGAATTATACAAGCTGTAAAGCAGGAAAGGCACCACATCCTTCAGTATAATTACTCCGAGACTAATAACCTTGCCCACTGCTAGAAAAACCAGTGTCTACAGTCTTTCACATTTGAAACTCCTGGCCATCTCTGCCTCTTCATTTGGAAGAAATGGGGCTTAACTAAACCCCTAGATCCCAGCACCAAAAGTCCCAGTCTAGGCACATGCTTGGCTTTGTTTCTTCCTCAACAGCAGATCCAGATTAAGAGAATATGTGCAGTGTTCATCCAAACACGGGAGCTGGATGTTCCACAGCATGTGCTGTTCTAATGTGCCTCTGGTGTTTCCATTTCAGGTTCGCTGGGGAGAAAAGGGCTCCACAGAAGAAGGGGCAAAGTTAGAGAAAGCCAAGAATGCTCGAGTCAAAATGCCAGAACAAGAGTATGAATTCCCAGAGCCCAGGAACCTTGGGAACAGCATGCGCAGGCCCTCTTCCCCCCGGAAATGGTACTCACCAATCAAGGTAGGTGTTGTTCAGTGTCATACAGCACAGATTCTAGCAGATGCTTATTAAACACTGATACAACCTTACATTGAGCTTTCAAGTCAGAGCAAAGTGAGTCACTGGGTGTTGAAGTCTCGGGGCCAGGACTAGGTATAATGAATCACCCAGCAATTTTCTTAGAAATTCTCAAGCAGCTACCAAAGCTGGCTTTAAGGCTACTTGGCCCCGCCAGAGGAGTGCAAAGCAACTCAAATGTACTGACAGAACAGGGCCCAGGGCTCTTTCAGAGGGGAAGCTAAACCTGTCATAGTGCCTTTTTCCCTCCCCTGCCTAAAGTCCCCAAAGGCAGAGGGCATGGTAATTTCAGTGCAGAGAGAGAGAGAGAAATCTAGCCCCCCACCTCTTTATAAAGAACCTGCTGAAGAAATAATAATAATCATTAAAAAATCCTTCCAGATGCCACGAGAGAGAGCTGTCCCTAGGAAATGAGACAGGCATTCTATGGTGCAGTGTGACTGCCTACCAACAAACGAGGGTCATCAGGGTTTTGCGTGCTGTAGGGGCAGTATGCTGGTTTTTCTTGGGGGAAATGCCTTGCAAGCTCTCTGGTCGATATGGAGTGGCCTTGGAAGTTAAGGGGCAAGTGTTCCTTTCTGCCAAGGCTCAGGCAGCATGAGGCTGTGAAACAGTTTCCTCCAGGAGACTGCAGATCTCACCACCTTCCTCTCCACAGGCAAGCAGTACATCTCACACTCACCTCTCCTCACATAAGCAAAGCACATCTCGGTGTGTTAATTAAAACAAACTAACAGTGAAAGGAAGCCCTGCCAAAACCATTACATACATCATTTTTCCCTGGATATTGGGAGAATGAACCACATGTGACAGATGTTAGTTATGTCATTTAATATACAGCTGGAAGGCACTCAGATAGTACTGTGGTAAGGACAGCACTAGAACAGTATGAATTAGAATTGATGTGGTTACATGCATGCTCATTTTCCTGGGGCTCTGTACTACTAGCCTGTGTAAAAGGGGCCTGGTGTACATGGGAAGCAGATCCTGAGCCTGCGTTCCAAGTCACTGGTGATGCATTAACAGAAGACCAGAGTGAGAGGTGAGTTGGTTCCTTTGTTTCAAGGGACCATTAGTGCCTTCTGTACTCAGGCAAGTGCTTCTCTATCATAAGGAATAAGAGCTGTTAGAGGAGATTCTCCAAGGAGCAAGTGGGGACTACCAGCCAGTTGCCATTGACTCTCAGTGGAAAAGGAGTGTCTGTGTGCTCCTTGAGTTTGGAGAACCGCCATGATGGATAGTTAAAAAAAAAAAAAAAAAGTCTGAGCGAATAAGACCCCACATCCAAACATACTGATACTTCAGGGTGTTCAGCATCTGCATTGAATTAGCTGCTTGAGCCAATCTTGAGACAAGAGCGTCCTCAATTATTAGACTTCACCACACTCCTCATTGACTAACACCCAAAAGATACCCAGTGCAGATGGAGTAATGACATTCAACAATTCCCACCAAGCAGGATCCACCAGAAGTCAACAGAAATAGAGGGAATGATTTCTGTGAGCCAAGGGACCAGAAATCATTCCCATAAAGTTGCTCCTCCCATACACTGAGGTCCATCAGTGCAATTGGCAGGCCCCAAACCATTCCTAAAGGAGCCTTTTCTCCAAATGACATAAGCACATCGTGATGAATCTGCCTTGATTCGCTCAGGAGAGCTATTGTAGAATCATAAAAGTAAGTTTATTAGGTCATCATGTCCATGCTCCCTGCCAAAGCAGATTGCTAACTTGAGTGTAGCTGTCATTGCTTTTTTTCCCAGTCTAGTTTTAAAATAACATAGAGGCTTCCACAGCTTATTTCACAGGCTAATAGGTCTCATCCATAAGAAATGACTTCTGATATTCAGCTTTGAAAACCCTTCATCCCAGGGCTCCAACTGCACATGATTGTTGGTAAAATGAGCCATTCCTTCCCGTCGGCCTCTGAACTCAGTAGAAGGCAAAGAATGGGCACATTACATTGTAGGAGGAAACATTTTTCTAAATAAAGGAGAAGACCAGGATACTAAACCCCAGGATCAACGTTTGTACCAAGTTAATTAAAAAATGATGCAGAGCCAGTAAATTCACATTTTGGGGTCAATCCTCTTTTTTCCCTTTGTGTGTACCAGCTGCCTTCTTTCTGCACAGCAGCGCAAGCACCAGCCTCAACTTGGAATTTCCTGGCCTTTGTCAGTTTATCCAATGGAGTTTTCTTCTCCTTCACATCCGCTCCCACTTCCCCCTTCCTGCCCCCCTGCCTCCAAGTCAGGTCTGCACAGTAGATGGACCTCTGTGATTGGAGAGAGGATATGTTGCAGTTTGAAGTACTCGGGGGCTCTTAAGTGCTGTCAGACGTGACTCCTGATGGTTCACAGATTTCTTTCTTTTTGTTTTGTTGCTGCTTATTCATGTAATGCCAACTGGATTTTTCCCCTCCTGAAGCATTCCTTTGACTGCTAAAAGAAGCTAGTCATTTTATAAGTCAGGTTAAAGAATCCAAGGAGGAAAACAAATTAGAGCGTTCAAAGCTGTGTGCTGCTTGCTTTGTTTCTTGGAGAACTTTCTCCCCTAAAATGTAGTTCTAATTTCCCTTTCTTTCATGTCATGCCATAAGTTAGGCAGGGGCATTTCTGAGCCAGCAGTGTACTTCTTATTACAGTTGTGCCTAAATGGTCCAACTGGGAATCAGAGCCCTCTTGTACTAGGCAAAGGTCTATGTGAGGCTGTCACGGGATGGGGTCCCTAGGTATGGTCATGATGCCCCTAGAGCTCCATGACCATGCCAGTCTTGCCCAACAGGCACCCTTTTCCTCGCCTGCCACGTCTTGTTGGTAATTATAATAAATAGGGAAGCTGCCCTTGAGTTTGTGTTTGGACGTGGTCCCGATGGACCCCACTGAACCCTGTGGATTCTTGGACCCCTTTTGGGTCCTGCTGCAAATGGTTGCCTCACCGGACACCCTCAGCCTTATGGGCTAGATGCATGGCTCCAAAACCACCCCTTTACCATGCCCCAAGACTCACAGATGGTATTTAAATGTTGCCTCTCCACAGCCCTGTCTCTGTGCCTGCACTGGCCCTGGGCTCTCCACACTGTAGTGGGCCCCCAGTGAGGCCTCCTCCTCCCCCAATAGCCTCCGCCCTGTCCCCAGGTTTAAATAACAACAGAAAGCACAAGCCCCTGGGCTACAACACAACCATTACATAGGGTCCATACTGTAGCCCCTTTTAGAAGACAGGCTTCTCTCTCAATCTGCTGGGCCTCCCCCAGTACCTATGAGCTCGTATAGACCCTTAATCCTACTAGAAGCAGAACAGGTAGCTAATTATCTCCAGTTAGCTTCCTGTATAAGAGCTCCTTCCCCCCCGGCTGCTGCCAGAGAACTAACTCCCTGGTCCCAGCCCTGAGGTTTATGTGTGTCCAGGGCCCTGCCTTCTTCTGGTCAGCTGACCAGGTGCAGGTGCAGGCTAATTCCCTCATTAGCCTGCTGCCACAGTAACCTGCACCTTTGGGGTTTCTGCCTGGTTGCTAGGGCCCTCTCTCTAGGCAGTTTCTGCCCTTAAAGGATCAGGCACCTTAGTGCCCTGTACCAGAGGTTAGAACAGAAGACCAGCTCCTTCCCTAAAGAGCCAAATGGGAGCACTGCATCCAAGCCTGGCCTGATCTATGTTGTGGGTACTTAGGTCTCAAATTTTGGTTCCATCTTAGCCCAAGAATTACTAAAGCAAAGACTGAGAAAATCCAAGGCACCTTGCAAAGCAGAAGGTCCCCCTGCAAAAGTGTTGCCTGGAGCAGAGAAATGAACTGTACTCGCATTATTAACAGATTTCATAACAACTGCCAAATCCTCAGCAGCACTGAGGATTCATAATACTATTGATGGAAAGGTCCTCAGACATACTCTTTTGACTTCCATGTGTTTAGCAAGCAAAGATTCAAGCCAGCGGTAAGGCACAAGAGTGTATAGTAAATAGTCTTTGTGGGAAATTGTACATGGTATTCCTCTCTCTAGCTAGAAATGGTAAATCCCAACATGCTGCACCCTAGAGAACCCTTCTTCAGTTCTCCCAGAGACTGATTTATTTTTTTGAAGTGAAACACTGGCCCTTTATAGAGGTGACAGGAAGAATGTTATGACATATCAGGGAATCCCTAGGAAGCAAATGTATGTTTTTGAACAGATGTTATTGTGCACATCTATACAGCGCAGAACACTGTACTTCTGGGCCTCATTAAACTCATTTGGACAGCAACTACACTACTGGAACTTGTGTCACTGCCTACTTCCATCTGGAAACAAACGTATTATTGAGATTGCAAAGGAGGTAGGGAGGTCCAAGCCCCATATCTCAGTCAGTCACTTCTGTCTAGGTCTGCTCAGAAATGGTGTATCAAAGCCACTTTTCAACAGCTGGCTTTTTGAGAAAATGGCATTTTTTGGTGACGAGTCTGCTCTCCATGGAAAATATTGACTTCCCAGGGCGACCTGAAGATCCTGCTTTCAGTCAAAAAATGAACTTTTTTTGTTTTTTCCATAAATTAAAAAAAAAAAAATCTTTAGGGGTAAAAAGAAAAAAATTCAACTGGCTCTGTTTCTAGCTCATTTAGTATTTTGTACTATAGTACTACAAACCAGGAGACCAACCCCCTATTGAAATCTTTCAGCTAGTGAAGAAAATACATTTGGCATGTAAGATTTCTTGGCTTGTACCAGGCTTTCAATGAGAGCCAAAGACAGACCACACAGGGAGGTTAACAGCGTCTCGTGAGCAGTACTGCATCATAAGGGCAATAACTGTGGGTAGACTGACCCTGAAATCATGGGATCAAAGCATCTTGGAGGGTGTGTGAGACTGCTTGGAGAAATCAGACACTCACTTAGCACAAGGGACAAAGCTGGAGAAGCCTGAATGCATGAAAGATTTGGTAACCTGATATTCCATTACTGATGTTCAGCTGATTATTGTTTAGCACACACTGGGGACCAAGCCACCTAGAATTAATTGATAGATACTTTTTCAGTCCCTGCTCCATTTATGAGTCCAAGACAGGTTATATTTACCCATATAAATGGCAGCTGGAACAATTATTTGTAGTAAGTGTGGATGCAGTTAGGACCAAACTGGAGCTAGTAATAGGAAGCCTAGAGCTACCTACAAACCAGCAATGAGTTAAGGAAGAGGAGGAAACCAAGGTAGGGACAGCACTATAGAAATGCACCTAACTGGTTTGCTGTATTCTCATAGCATTTCCCTAGGAGGCTCAGTAGAGGCTCCAGGAACTGAGTAGGTAACTGAAACCCCTTCAACCAAGGAAGGTAGCTGAGAATTAAGGTATATTAACAGGAGACAGTGTGGGGAAATTTGTAGTTAAGTGCCTTGTTAAGTATTTCTAGGTTGCCCACAAGCTGTTGGGGGAGAGTTTCAAGGTACAAATGAGAGTTGGGTACCCAGCTCATACTGCCAATAGGTCCCAGCTGCTCTTTGTGCCTTTGAAATCTTCACCCTTTGCACCAACTGTAAGTGTTGTGGAGAAAGGGAGTTCTTGATAACCTGATACCTCTCACAAGCACTGCATTCAGATTAATAAAATCAAAAGGCCTGAGCTGTGCTATCCTCAATATTTGCTTTGTTGGTTGCATCTATGATTTTTCACCACATTTCTTGTCATTGCAGGGAAAACTGGATGCCCTGTGGGTACTGCTGCGGAAAGGTTATGACCGTGTGTCTGTGATGCGCCCTAAGCCAGGTGACAAGGTACGTGCCTTCTGTAACAGCTATTGCACTTAAGAAACAATTCCTTGAACTATGTCTGCTGCTGAAATCCCTACAGGTTCAGATTCCTGTGGCTCAGAGCATGGGGACAATTTGGGTAGATTGATCATGTGCAATACCACAAGCCCATCAGGAGAAGCCAACAACTTGATTCAATTAGCTACAGCGTTGCAAGCAGGAAAAAAATGGTATGCCAAAACAATTATATGCCTTCCTTATTTACCCAGTTCTTACGGCTCAGTCTTACAGTTCAGGACTGAAATTCTGGGCTTAGCAAAGTGAAGGGAAAGCTCCCATTGATTTCAGTGGAGCTAGGATTTTGCTCTAATTTTGAGTTAGATGGACATTTTTTCTTTGTGTGAATTGTAGGATGAGATCCCAAGTCATTTTGAGACTCTAAATTTGGCGGCTCTTGATTCTTCATTATTATTTCCTGGCAGGTAAAATTCTCCAAAGTGAAAGGAGGTGGACATGGAATGCGGTGGGAGCTTTCCCATTTGTCTGTCTTGTACTCTCTACTATTTATTATTCATCAATTTGGGAGCCTGGGAAACAAACAGCAAGACTGCATGCGTTTCAATACACAGCATGAGTGAGCTGACATTGGGAAACATAACTTTGCATTTTCGTATGAGTTTAACTTGCAGACTTCCTTTGGTAAAAACAAACTGTTATTGTTTATACCTGCTATATATGTGAGTGTTTGTACTAACACTTACACAACTGTAAGTGTTTCTCTTATTCAGTTGGCATAATTACATCATGTTTGTGTGTGTGTGTGTGTGTGTGTGTGTGTGTGTGTATAAAAAAAAATTGTAGGGTTGTGTATTTGACTGGTTAAATAAAGCTCAGTCAATTGACCAGTCAAATATTGGTCAAATATTGTAAAAAATTGCCAATAGGTCCATATAATGCACAGAAAAAACACAGATTTTACATTAAGAAATGTGTCAAAAAACAATTTAAAAAATCGTATTTCTGTCAAGAAAACTATAAAGCGTGTAGTATTTTTGTAAAATTGCTATAATCTTTGATTGGTCAAATATATGCAGTCAGTTGACTGCCCAGTTGACAATCATAGAATCATAGGGCTGGAAGGGACCCCAAAGGATTATCGGGTGCAGCCCCCTGCATGAACAGGAAAGACATCTGGGGTCAGACGACCCCAGCCAGGTGACCGTCCAGTCTTCTCTTGAAGACCTCTAGGGTAGATGATTGCACCACCTCTGGGGGAAGCTTGTTACATAGTTTGGACACCCTAGTTGTAAAGTTTTTCCTAATGTTCAGCCTGAAACTATCTTCCAGGAGTTTGTGGCCATTGTTTCTAGTTTTCCCCCAGGGCGCCTTGGTGAACAGTTGTTCACCGAGCCTCTGATATGTGTTTCTGATATAGCAGTAAGCTGCAATCAGGTCTCCTCTCAGCCTTCTTTTCTTTAGGCTGAAGAGTCTGAGATCCCTCAGCCTCTCCTTGTATGGCTTGCCATCCAAGTCCCTGATCAGATGGGTGGCCCTTCTCTGGACCCTCTCGAGCTTTAGCATGTCCTTGTTGAAGAGCAGTTCCCAAAACTGGACACAATACTCCATTTGCGGCTGCACCAATGTTGAGTAAAGTGGGAGAATCACTTTGGATTTACTGGAGATGCGTCGATTGATGCATGCCAGAGGTTTATTGGCCCTAGTGGCTACTGCGTCGCATTGCCAGCTCATATTCATGCTGCGTTCTATTGTTACCCCCAGATCCCTTTCATCTGTAGTGCTGGTCAGATTAGCGATGCCCAGCCTGTAGGTGTGCTGGGCGTTCTTCCTTCCCAGATGCAGCACTTTGCATTTTTCTATGTTGAACCTCATCTGGTTCCGTTCTGCCCAACATGCCAGCCTGCCTAGGTCTGCTTGTATCTGCAGCCTATCTGCAGGTGTGTCCACACAACCCCATATCTTGGGGTCATCTGTGAATTTGGCCAATGCGCTTTTCATCCCTTCATCCAGGTCATTGATGAAGATATTGAACAGCACTGGGCCAAATACCAACCCCAGGGTATGCCACTGCCCACATCTCGCCAAGACGACACCAATCCATTCATTTGGACTCTCTGTTTCCTACCCCACAACCAGTTTTGCACCCACTTGATGGTCCCGCAGTTGAGCCCAATATCTTCCAGTTTTCTGATCAGTACCTTGTGGGATACCAAGTCAAAGGCTTTCTGGAACTCGAGGTATATGACGTCAACCGCTTTTCTCTCATCCAGTTGATGAGTCACCTGATCATAGAAAGAAATGAGGTTGGTCAGACAAGACCTGCCCACAACGAAGCCATGCTGGCTGTCATTCAGTATCATGCTTTCTGCAAGTTTGTCACATATAGCCTCTTTGATGAAAATTTCTAGGATTTTCCCTGGAACAGAAGTTAAGCTAATTGGCCTATAGTTTCCCGGGTCTTCACACTTCCCCTTCTTGAAGATGGGCACAACATTAGCTGTCTTCCAGTTCTCTGGGATTTTTCCAGAGACCCATGATTTTTGACAGACCTTTGCCAGGGGCTCTGCGATTAATTTGGCCAGCTCTTGCAGCACCCTTGGGTGGAGTTCATCTGGTCCTACTGATTTATATACATCTAATTTCTTTAATTGATTGTACAGCAGTTGTATGGCAATGGTGGGAATGGTGTCAATCCTGCCCTGCTCATTCTGTGTCCTACCTGGCATGTTGTTCCCCTTGGTCTTGTGAAAGACGGAGGCAAAGTAGTCATTTGGGAGTTCCGTTTTTTCCTGAGTGGTAGTGACCAAGTATCCTGAGACATTGAGCAGCAGCCCCACACTCCCATTAGTTTTCCTTTTACTCCCTATGTAGCTAAAGAAGGACTTCTTGTTGTCGTTGATTCTTGTAGCTAATTTTAGTTTGGTTTCTGCCTTGGCTTGCCTCATCTGTTTTCTACAAGTGTGGGCCATTGTCAAGTAGTCTTCCTTAGAGGCTCTCCCAAGCTTCCATTGTTTATACACCTCTTTCTTTTTCTGTAGGAGTGCTGCAACTTCCCTGCTTAGCCAAGAGGGGTTTTTGACCCTTCTGCTACTTTTTCTCCATAAGGGAATGGATTTTCTCTGAGCCTTAAGGATTGTATCCTTAAGGAATGACCATTCTTTTTGTGCTCCCTTTACCTGTGGTCCTTGGTCTCTCAGGGCATTCTCTACTAGTGACCTAAGCTTATTAAAATTTGCGTTTTTGAAGTGTAAGACTTCGAGCTTGGTACCTGTTTTGTCAGCCTTGTGACGGACCATGAACATAATGTTTTCATGGTCACTATCGCCTAGGCTGCCCTCTGTTTAAGTTGGTCACCAGGTCATCCCGCCTGCCCAGGGCCAGGTCAAGAACCGCATTTTCTCTAGTTGGCCTGTGCACTTCCCAAGTCAAAAAAAGCTCTTTGGTGCTGGTCAGGAAGGATTATGATCTATCTGAGCTGGCCGAGCACTCCTCCCAGGAGATGTCTGGGTAGTTGAGGTCACCCATGCATGCGTGGCCTCTGTTAGTTCACGGGATAATGCTAGATCAAGTTCCTCCCCTTGGTTAGGCAGCCTGTAGTATACACCTACAGTCAGGTCTCTCTCGCTGCGCTTCCCCCAGAGCTTGACACAGAGCGTTTCAAGCTGATCTTCTTTGGCCAACATCAGCCTGTAGGGAGGTGTACTGTTCTTTCACATAGAGAGCAACACCCCCACCTCTCTTCCCTACCCGATCCCTTCTGTGAAGGACATAGCCCTTTATGGCTATGTTCCAGTCATGAGAGGAGTCCCACCAGGTCTCCGTGATCCTTACTAGATCATAGTGCCCAGTGAAAAGCTTATTTGACCAATCAATTGAGCAGCTTGCCAACCCTAATAAATTGACTAATTATATATACAATTAGTACAGAAAGGCAAGTTTATCTCTACCATAAATCAGCTGCGTGCAGTGGGGTTCTGTCATGACTTCTTTTGGCCCAGAATTTTCATAAACATGTGCAGCAGTCAGAAGACTTCAGGAAACTCAGACAAGAGTACTGACAGCCATGTAACATTTTTGGTGGAGATTCATCATTCTCTAACATTCGGCTCCACATATAGTTTTCCAGTGAATTAAGAAGCAATGGTTTTTTGTGAGTAGAAGCTTTAATACTTTATGCCTTCAAGGGGAAAATTGACTTAAATGTCTTCTTTGCCTGTGGGAGGAAAGTTCATGCTATGCAAATTGATACTGCGTGGCAATTTGTATGAACATTTCCCACAGAGATATGGGTTTGAATGGTTTCTTTTTATTATTTGGATTGGTGTCTCAAATCGATGAGCTAACAGTGCGTTATTTGAAAGATTCGGCCTTGTTGCTCATTGGAAGCCAATGAAATCAGTAGCAGTTTACATAAGAGTAATGAGCCGCAGAGTATACCCTTTCACATCCACACCCCCATGTATACTGTATCTCTGGGACAGTTTTGCATCTATTTAAATCCACACAGTGGTGTCACTCCAAAATTATACCAATGTAAGCAAAAGTGGAATTGCTCCACATGATATGTGGTCAAGATTCCTGTTTAACTACAGCTCTGTTATGTCTTCCTTGAACTGTAAGGGGGCTTTGGTTTGGGTGCAGATGTTATGTGGTGTAATGGATAATTTGGCCTATAGCATATCCAGACCTAAAGCTTCTGAACCCTTAGTTTGCTTAAGGACACTTGCAAACGATTTGGGCTAAGTACAGACAGTCAAAAAGCCCAAGGCTGAATTGATTCAGTCTTTGCAGGTTAGTTTAAGCTACAAAGATTGAACCAATAAGCAAATGAACAGACATTCACTTTTGATTCAGGAAACATAGCCATGTGCCTGCAGTGGCTCAGGCCAGAATCCAGGGGGATGCTAGAGCATGGCTCTCTAGCATGTATCCAGTATAGGCTGTGTGTTCACTTTGTCTTCCTGCTGCCCCCAGAGGTCTCTGGGATTTGCAGTCCACAATTACAG